CCGGATCGGGGCAACCTCCCTCACCCCTCGCCCATCGGGTAATTTCCAACCCCGTTACCCTTTTAAGGCGGAATGGGGTGGGTTGCCCCGTTTACATTTTTTTTAAAAAAATAATTCAGTTTTTGATAATTCATATTATTATTTGACAATAATATATTTATTTATTTTCAAAAGTTGAATTATTCAAATATATATGATAAATCAAGGCTTTTATTGTTTGTCATATTCCTTAGATAATGTTAATTGACATCTTCTATTAGAACCAATAAAATTTCGTGCAGCTTTTCATTTAAAGTATTGAATTTTTTTAAAAAAATAAAAATTAAATATTAAACGGGGGGCGGGGGCCCGTCCTCAACACGAATACCTGATTAAGCGGGTAATCCCCGTTCCGTTCGAGGCGGAGTCTACTGGTATCAAGTTTGACGAATTCCTTTTTTTTTTTTTCATCCCTAGTGCTAATATTTAGCTCAATCTTACTTTATTTCAAAATCTCTTGATAGAAAAAGAGAAAAATAATTCAAGATAGTATTAATGAGAAATAATTGCACAATGCATAAGATCATTTATAGTAAGAAAATAATTGCACAAGATTTTATTTGATCTTCACAAGGATGGATGTATTCTTCGATATATTCTCATATGCGTCATCAACATACAACTTTGTTTAGATGTTATAAATTTGAAAAGATACATTAAGCCCCTGTTTGACTCACATTATTTTTTTTCATTCTCATTATTCTACCCATTTTCAACCACACATTTTTCAATAAAATAATATTTTCCATCACATCAATAACTTTTCCTTCATTTTCAACCACATATTCTCCATCACGTCACTTCAAAAAAATGCATTCTTTTGTTTTAATGTGTACCAAACGGATTCATATTATTTTTTGCATCAAACAGGTATGAATAAACTTCAAAATTACTATTCTTATCTTTAAAGTTCCATTTATTATTATTATTATTATTATTATTATTATTATTATTATTATTATTATTCAATCTTGACATAAATGGTCCATAACATTCAAATCTTGACACGAATATCCCT